TAAGGCTAAGGCTAAGGATTAAGGCTAAGGCTAAGGCTTAAGGCTAAGGCTAACATCGACAGTCACGCCTCACCCCACGGTGTGGGGTCGGCGGATAAAAGCAGCAATTGCAAAGCTTTTTTTGGAAGGAATGTATCTGCAAGTCTTTCTTGTAAATGTTCACCGGTTCAACGAGTTGTTCGGCCTTTAGGGCAGCTGCTTTGAAGACTCCCAGTGAGTTCCGATTCGTGATGCTTCTCATTTGTCAGGCAGCTTGTCAGAAGAACTGTCTAAATCACTAGAGTTTTAGACAGCTTTAGATTCTTCTTCACTATAGAGAGGTTTGCGGCGTAGCCGAGCAGCTCTGAGGGCATGCAGAAAGGGAATGAAGCCTGGCGACATTTGAAAAAGGACCAAGCGATGGAGGCAAGCTTGTTTTTTGGTCAATGCCATCCTAGCCAAGCAAATATGCTGTTATCTGGAGGTTGCCCAGATGCAGCAGCTCAAGTTCCAGTTGCTACTGAAGCTGCAGAAGGTGAATGCTGGTGGTGAGAGTGATGGCTGGAAGGCCTGGATCGAGAAGTTGTTGGACCCGGCCACCTTTGAGAAGGGCCAGCATCTCCTTCTGGGCGAAGCAGGTCTGATGGATGAGCGCTTGAGTAGCGCTGGGAAGCTGGCCTTTGCCTTTGTGTTGGGCACGCATGATCGCATGCTCCTTTCAGCCATCCAGAGTGGCCAGAAGGAGACGTTGTTTAGATTTTGCTTTCAGCGTCAGACAGGTAAAGGCAATTTTGTTTTGAATGTTAGCTGTCGCCAAACCAGGAGAGCTACCCGCAGCTGGAGTCTTTGATGAAAGAGGCTGTGGACAAGGCCAACATAGTGACAGCGGCAGCGCAGCCGAGCGACGAAGCAGCTGGAAGTGGCAATGAGGAGGGCAACGGAGATGATGATGTGATCATGGAGGATCCGTCTAGCAACCTCTCGGCCAAAAAGAAGCGGAAATCAGACATGATTGCAGCGGCCGTGCAGGCCAGATTCGTGTTTGTAACAGCAGCTGTTCTGTTTTTGGGCTTGTGAACTTATCATTGCTGCGATCGTTTCATGCCCACAGGAAGAGTTGCGGTTCTATGCCCATTTCCTTGTTTGCGACTACGACGACCCAGCACAGAAAACGAGTTTGTTAGATTCTTTGCAGCATCACAAGCTGGTCAAGGACCACGATGAGGCTGGTCTGTAGTCCTTTCCCCACGCATGGTTTCACAAATGGGTGCCATACGCCAGGGACGCGATGCAGAGACTGTGTCGCGGCTTTGGGTCTATGATAGCAATTTGCTGGTGGAGCCAAATGGATCTGGTCTTTGCCGCAGTTTCAACCCGTACGTCAAACCGCCAGTGTCACTTGGCCGTAGGCTTGTATAGCTGTATAGAACCGGTGGGGCTTTGTCACCTTGCCGTCAGACCCCGGAGTTGCATGGTACATCTCAACGGTTACGGTTGGCGCCGCCGAGGTTCCACAAGGTAGCCTTCACGAATTTCAAGGCTGTGTACCAGAGCTGCGCCACAGACAGCGACGTGCTTGCGGTTTGTGATGGAGGGAGTGTCAAAGGCACTGCAGAGGTGAAGAAGGCTATGTCTGCGATGGGGGCTTTCTCAACCTCCATCTTCCTGATCCCAGATCAAGACAGCATGCAGACGCGCAAGGATTTTTCCAAGAAGCGTCAGCCTGCAGACTGCGCTAACCATTCATTGTATGATTTGTCAAATTTGTTTGTATGCGATTGGGGCTGCCAAAAATCATCCATTTTGATGTCGGGGTAGGGATGCGATTGGGGTAGGGTCCAAGTTCAAGTTGCAACTGATGTCAAATAGTCTATTCAGTGATGGAAACAAAAAGAGGGCATTGAGGCTGCAGCCGATGTTGGAGCAGCGGGCAACAGAAAACAACAACATGTCACCCAGACTGACGAAAGAAACTGAGACCACAATAATGTAACTGCTGATGTCGGGGTTGGGCTCCTTCAAAAATGACATCCCTCAAAAACCTCACCTCAAAATACTAAGTCTCAGAATGGCGCAGAACAGCTCTGGCCTGATCGTTTGTTTGGCGCTTGTTCTGCTGTCCCTGAATGGTTCAGGTCTTGGTTTGCTGTGTCCCTGATCAGAGCAGGCCCATTATTGGTTTGTGTGGCGCTTGTTATTTTTGCTGTGAGATTGAACGGTTCAGAACGGTTCTGGCCTAGTATTGGTTTGTCTGGCGCTTGTTCTATTCAAGACGCTTCGCGTCGACAGCCGCCCACTCCGCGCACGAACAGCCGAAGTTAGTGAAATGGAAGTAGCCATCTAGGCGCCAGGTTGGGGACAAGTGCAGCGCCAGGTTGGCTGTCTTACGGCTGCTTTGGAGCCATCTTGGTGCCAACTTCGTCTACCTTCGGGCCCATAATGGTGATATAACTTCGGCCTTGCCAAAAGCCATCTAAAAATACATCTCCAAAACGCTCTCCCCAGTGGCCCTGCAGCCGAGCAAGAATCAACGGAGCAACCACACCAAAACACAAAAACTCCTCCAAAACGCTCTCC